CCCTGGGGAAGCCGCGCCCCCTGCTGGATCCGGCTGAGACGGCACCAGAGCCGGGCAGCGACGCGCCTGCCCCCTGGAACGCCTCTCCGGCGCCCTCTGCTGACCACGCTTCGGTGCCAGCTGGAGGCTTCAAGGACTCTGATTCTTTCCGTTTTTTAAATCCTCAGCCGAGGATTTTCCCCCATTGCTTTTCAGAGAGAGTGGGAAAGAGAGAGAGAGAAACATCCTTTGTTGCTTCCCGCACGTGCCCCGATGAGGGCCGGGGATCGAGCCTGCAACCGGGGCACAGTGCCCTTCAGTCCTCTGGCGGATGCTCTAACCACTGGCTAAGGCCTCTGATTCATTTTTATAAAGCACCCAAATAGAGTGGAGTTGGGGCTGAGAGGAATTCAGCCAATAGCCAACACAAAGTCCACCTGGTAAATAAAGCCAGGACTTCTGCAAATCTAGCCTTGGTTTCCTTGTTTTTAAAGTGGTGGTCAGGGGGTAATATAAGCCTGAAATTCCTTTTTGTTCCACTGTTCCACTATTATTTTTAAACCAAATGAGTGCTGAACTCCTCTCGTCCATTCCTTCCTCTTGCTACTTTAGTTGTTCTGTTTCATGAATGTTTGTCAGTCTTTGGAAAGTGTAGATAAAAGTTTGTTCACAGTTCATTTACTCAAGCCTGTTAGTTGTTCGTGTGTGTGTGTGTGTGTGTGTGTGTGTGTGTGTTATCGTCAGCCTATTGCCATCTGTGGCTCATCTTATGGGTCCCTAATGAAGTTAGGTGTCTTAGTCTGTTCCACCTGCTATAACAAGACCATACACTGGGTGGCTAAAAACAACACATTTATTCTCACAGTGCTCTAGGCTGGGCAGACCAAGGTCAAGGTGAAGCAGATATGACCTATGGTAAGAACCCACTTCCTAGGTCACAGATGGCCATCTTCTCCTGTGTCCTCTCATGGTGGGAGGAGCAAAGCAGCTCTCCGAGTCTCTCTCTCCTTTAAAATATTTATTTATTTTTAGGGAGAGAGAGGAGAGATAGAAACATTAATGAGAAACATGGATTGGCTGCCTCCTGCACACCCCCTACTGGAGATCAAGCCTGCAGCCTGGGCATGTGCCCTGACTCGGAATAGAACCGGTGACCTCTTGGTTCATGAACTGATGCTCAATCACTGAGCCACACTGGCCACTCTGGGTGTTTTTATAAGGGCACTAATCCCACTGATGAGGGCTCTATTCTCATGACCTAATTACCCCAAAAAGCTCACCTCCAAATACCATCACATTGTAGATTTTTTTAAAAAAACAGGCATATTTATTTAATTAAAAAAAAAAGTCTGTTGAATAATTTCAGAGAGATAGAAACAGCAATGATGAGTCATTGACTGTTGCCTCCTGCACACCCCGTTGGGGATCAAGCCCTCAACCTGGGCATGTGTCCAGACCAGGAATCATACTCTGATCTCCTGGATCATAGGTTGATGTCAACCACTGAACCAGCCGGTTGGGCTCAGTGAGCTTTTTGACTCATTCCAAGGGCCAATTGATTCATTTGGGTTTTTCCTAAAGATGGTCAAACTGGCTGAATGTCTTCCCTCTTCCATTCAGGTAATAATACCCCATTTCTTTGCATTGTTAGTGGGCTTTCTTTTGTTATAATTAATACTTTTGATATTTCACCATTAAAAAAATGATTTTATTGATTTCAGAGGGAGAGGTAGAAACATCAATGAGAGAATCATTGATTGGCTGCCTACTGGCCAGGCATATTTCATCATTAAGTAAGATGTAGCACAGTGGGATTGCCTCTTATGTGGTAACTCAAGTAACTTTAGGACATTTACCCTTCCTAGAGGTTCATTTTTTCCTAGAGATCTCCTCATAAACGGGGGCTGAAATGTATCCTATGCAAATTTATCGAATGGCATCTATTAACTGTTCTTTTTCCTTCAACTTGTTAATCAGTTAATAGCACTGACAGTTTTATCATCACTCGTTTTTTTTTTTTTTTAATATATCTTTATTGATCTCAGAGAGAGGAAGGGAGAGGGAGAAAGACAGAAACATTAATGATGAGAGAGTCATTGATCGGCTGCCTCCTGCACGCCCCCAACTGGGGATCGAGCCCGCAACCCGGGCATGTGCCCTGACCGGGAATCGAACCGCAATCGCCTGGATCCTAGGTCGACGCCCAACCTGCTGAGCCACACCTGGCTGGGCGATTTTGTTATCTTTTAAAAATGTAATTCCAGATTGTATTTACTAGTATTTCATATAGTTTTTGACCTGGGTTTTAGGTATTGTACCTACACTGTTTATCAGCTATCCACAAGTCAACCTAAACTATCATGAATATGCTAATGTGCAATGTATAAGCTTAAGCCAGTTAGGAGTCCACATTATTCTCATAAATATTTCTGGAGAAACAGGCAAGAGGTGGCACAGTCTGGTGAGAGTAGTAGTAACATCACTGAGGACTCAGTGGACCTGGATTCGGCTTGTATTTGCCATTAAGTGTTGGAGAATCTTAAACAAAACTCACCCCTCTTGGCTTCAAATTAAAAATCTATAAAATGGGTTACCAGGACAACCAAATGTTAATGTGCAGGGCACAGTGTCCACTCCTGCATATATGCAAGACATTATTAAATTACAAGTCAGGTATTTTAAATTTAATGCACTTAGGAATGAAGGCACAATACAAACACATGACACTCTCCAAAGCCATGTAAAACCCGAAGGCATTAAAATTTATTAAATGATGCAATAACAACAGAATTCTTTATTTACAATAGCATTATTTAACATCAAATAAGCAAAGAGCATCAGCAAAGCAATATTAACTTGCATAAATGTATTTAAAATTTCTCTGAATATATCTACCTTTGCATAAACTGCTCACACGAGAAATACAAACATCGATGCAGATGAACAAGGTGATGTTCAGAGTCAACTCCATTTGGAAAATAAACCACGACCTGAAACACTGTAAGCTTTCTCCTGAAGAACCATAGTTAATATATTGCTTAATTTTACCCTTGTATAATCTTTTCATATACACACATCTCAGATGCAACTTCATGAGGAACTGTACAAATAAAACCCACAAATGACAAAGGGAAAAAAATGACAGTTAAATGTTTGGAGAAATGTATCATCATCACTATCCAACAACATAAAGGTTAAGTGATGATGTACTTATTCAAAAATTGTACACAATTCACTATACAAATATAATACATCGGACAGCTATGTAGGAATATACAAGACTTAAAAACAGATCTAAGGCATTATGCTAGATTTTAGCATTTTGAGGTTCTTGCACATAGCTTTTACCTGTAGTAAGAAACTTAAAAGATTTTGTTTTAGTCTATAAAGAAACACCAGGGAGAAAATTCTAATTAAAATCGAAGCCACTACAGTAATTTTCTTTTGTGCAGAGAATGCTTTGCTCTTAGGCAGCATACTACCATACAAATACTAGAAAATTTTAAATTCACACCAACAATTAATGGCTTAAGTTGCATTTCAAAATTGATTGTGTATCTTTGGGTTCTACAGTGGATGTGTGCCACCCATTTTATGTGTTCAGCCCATATGAACTCCATTTTTAAACACAGATTAAAAATTGCATTATATAAACTGCAAAAACATTGCTTTCAATTATTACAGGCCATAGGAGATACACGTGGGAGGGGGCATTTTAATCTTTGAGTCAAACGAATTCATTGTAGCAAAAGAGCTCACTTCACTTTCCAACTCACCACATTACATGAACACTTAAATGAGTCTTATAACCAAGTGAATGTATGTATACTTTTCACATTATTTGTTTTTCACATTTAGTAATAGAAGTAAAACACTGATTCTTTGTCCTATTAAACAAAAACCAAGGACTCAGCCTAACAAATTTACTGTGTACAGCATGAGAAATACTGATAACGAAGGGGATCGATTTGGCTTTGCTTCTATAGTGATCAATATGATCAGAGGATTCCTTCACTTACTTTTCTTCTCTTAATTAGATGTAAAGCAAAATCCATTCCCTGATCTGAGCCGTAAGAGAATTTGTAATCTCTTTTCCTTCAAAACAGCCATGATCATGAATTATTCGAAATGACCAGCATCACTGGTTTGTAGATTTGTCTGACTTGGGGTTGATGTGAAAACACAGTGGGCAGGTGAATAAACAGTAAAAGATACACAGATAATTTTTGGACAGTATTATAGTGAAATGGGACTTAAAACTCAAAACAAAACAAAACAAATCTAGCTTAAACTCCGTTTCTCCTTTGTGCTGTGTGAAGTTAAAGTCATTCTAAGTTACGTTTCTAAAAGCAACTTAAAGCTGGTCACACTGCGTTGCACAGGACGCAAGCCTCGCCACGCTGAGCAGTCATGGAGTTCTGGGCCAGCGTCTGCTTGTTTCATCCATCGCAGGTGGGCAACGCAATGGTCTGGTTGAGGAGAGTAGAGCCTTGTGAGGGGGGCATGTGGACTGGTGGCCCCGAGAGGTGCTGTTCCTGGGCCACCTCCCTGTAGTGAGACCCCTCTCAAGTGGAAAAAAGTATCGAAATGCAAATTTCCAGAACATTTCTTTAGTATGGAGCAACATCTTCAGACTGTCTATTTATCATTTATCTTTGGGCTATATCTCTCTCTATAATCCATCATTTGCACATATAGGGAGAGATATAAATATAAATAGGGGTAGTTTGTCCATTGTCCACCCTGCCACAAATAAACAGTCACATTTCAAGGAAAAACCTCTCTGTTCCTAAAAAGCCTGGCTAGTGAGATATAAAATGCTTTGCTTTTTAGACATCAAAAAGACATCATTCTGAAATTTAGGTAAGAAAGTACGTGTCTTAGGGGTTGGGGAGAAATAGCTCAAAAAAGGTAATCAGTTTCTTGGTATTGCACTTGTCTGAAACTGACACCAATTAATAAAAGACTATTCCCCTTCCCGAGGGGGCAAGAGAAACAACCATAAAAGTGGCCTGCTCAGTAACATGTGGTCTTCCTAAGGTTCATTAAGAAAGAATATAAACATATAAAAATCAAGAACTGGGTCCTACAGCGGCTGCATATCATATAGATTAGATAAATGATTTATGAGCAGAATCACAAGGTTTAGAAAATAAAAAGTCTTAAGTCTACAAATTAGGTCTAATCAAGGCATAGATATCCTTTACAAAACACCTTTAGGAGACATTGCTATGAAGATATCTAATTTAATACTGAAGTACCTCATTTTTGAGTCAATTCCACAATATGTATACCTCACAAAAAATTATACAATTGAAACACTTAAGTCCTCAACTTAAATTATTGCTTGTTTACATAGAAATTGGATTTTATGTACCTTACAAAATGTCGGCTTAGTCAGCACTGCTAAAAAAACAAAATAAAAAACACACGGCGGAGGTGACACCTGTCACGTATCTGCTGTCAGTGTTAAACACGCCAGGGCTTCCTGTGTTGTGGGCCTGTGTGGCTGGGGAACAAGACGGACATGCTCCTGAAGCAGGTGTCCTCAGTGGGACCAGCATCGTCCTGACTCTGCTCCTCTCCTTGCCAGTAAATGCATTTTTCCGAAATTTAAGTTAGCAATTGCTAAGTGGCTGGCAAAACATTTAAAAAAATTTAAGGAAACAAGGGGCTTACCTGGTTTCTGTTGTTTTTATTTTTTAAATGAATGAAAGTGTGTGTGTGTGGGGGGGGGCAGGGGAAGGGAAGAGTCAGGAAGAGGAGATGCTAATCCAAGCTGTCTGATCAGTCTAACAGGAACTTAATGTGGAAATGAAAAATATTTCTTCTTGATTAATGATTCAGATGAACTCATTTGGTTTTAACAAAAAAAAAAAAAAAAAAGGAAACAGTACTTGTTAATGTGAACAGCCCTCTCATGCTCCTTCTTATCTGTTCATTAACTGGAACCTCTTTCCAACTTGGTCTTGAGAGCTTTCTACAAAGATATTGGTCTTCACTTCTTGGGTGTCTGTCCATACAGTGCTGTCCATGGTGTCTGCCCTGCTTTTATCCCAAATGCAGTTTGATTTTTAGAAAAAATCCTTTTCTTTCCCCTAGATGAAATCTGAATATTTTGTACTAGACTGATTAGCCAGGGAAAACAAAGCAAGAAACCAGTGTCTGGAACCAAACAGGAACAGAACAAGAGCATGGTTGTTTTCCTTAAATACGTACATTTAAATACATTCAATCTGACATGGGTATGAAATTTGCCTGTCAACATTTACTTCGCAGGAGAGATCTAAGTTGCACTAAGGTGAATGCAGTGAACAGACTGAGCAACTGTCTGGACGCAAGCTTCAGGCTGTCGAGAGGAGGCAGCTCCTCCTGCAACAGCTGCTCCCCGGGGCCAGGCCCGGCATCTGCTGAGCTCACTTGGGCAGAACTGGCCGGCGGGTCGGTGGGGTCAAAACAAATGGACGCAGCTCTCCAGACCAGTAAGTGTTTTGAGCAAGTGAGCCCAGTCAGCTGAAGAAAGAAGCAACCAGCTACCTTCAGTGTCAGCAGTATTTCTGCAGGAAAACAGAGAAAGTTGTGAAAGATCTCTGAATTTTTGATAAAATCATCATAGAGCCCATCACAAAAACATCAAAATACGTGGCTGTTTTAAATAATGTCAACCCCAAAGGCTGCCTCTGGATGAGTTTCACTCGATTTTGATGCAAGCAGATGGACTGTTCCTCATTGAACACACACAATGTTCGCAAAGGCCAGTTTCTGAAGGACACTGCAATGGTTCCGATCGCTCCTCTGAATGACTGCTGCTCCCTCAGCAATGACATCCGAGCCCAATTTAATCCCTCCCACCTGCTCAAGAAAGATTAGACTCCCAGTTGCTGAACTGCCCCTGCCTTTTTTTTTAAAAAATCCTCACCTAAGGATATTTTTTACATTGCTTTTCAGAGAGTGGAGGGGAGGTAGGGCAGGAAGGAGGGAGAGAGAGAGACACATCGATTGGCTGCTTCCTGCATGTGCCCCGACAGGGGCAGGGAATTGAGCCTGCAACTGAGGCACATGCCCTTGGCTGGAACTGAACTCTGGATCTTTCAGTCCGAGGGCTGCCGTTCTAACCACTGAGCCACAACAGCCAGGGCCTACCCTTGCCTTTTGACAGCATCCCACCCAGAAGTGACCACCACTTTCTTAATCCTTCCTCAACATTACCCAGTACAAACTCACTTCCTATCAAAGGCCCCTCTTGACTGTCCTTTACTGAGTGAGATACTCCCAAGGTTCCATGGGTACGTTCTCCCTGGCTTCAGCAAGCTACATCACCCAGGGTTTTTGCTCAACAAGTATCCTTGCTAGTTTCTGGCTGCTATGTGCTGATGATTTGAATGTCTGGATACCCAGGGTTGGTTGGTTGTTTTTGCAGTGAGCAAGAATCATGTGGAGATGTTTCTCTGGTTAGTAGGAGTGTATCTGTCAATGTTTTTCCTTTAGCTATTGATTATCTCCGCCTCTTCCTAAAGTTTTCATTCATTTAGGAAATATTAATTGAGCACCTACTCTGTGCCAGGAGCTGGGGATATGATCATAACAAGACATTTCTGTTCACTGCTATCAAAACACTGTGAATAGGCCAGGTAGACAATTAAGTAACAACGTGATCTGAGCTATGTGGGGAGAAATATTAGTTGCTGTGGGAACATATAACACTGCTTCTGGGATTTAGATACTTAGACACAGAATTTTAGCACATCGGGGACATTAAAGATTACCTAGCTTAAGTAAGATTAGGGAGGAAGTCAGCCCAAAACAATGAATTTCACCACAGTACCTTGAAAAGCAACCTGGGGAACCTCGTCAGATACCGAATCCTGGGGGTCAGAGGTGGAGTTATGCTCCTGGACACTTGCACAATCCTCCCTCCCAAGCTGAGAAAATTAGCTCAGGAGACGTCTGAGAAGAACATTTTATGCACTTCTCTCTGTATTGTATTTATTCCTAATTTGTGTCACTTACATGATTTTACATGGAAATATTCCAAGGCTCTGACTGCCAGCCTGCCATCCTGGCTGTCACCGAGTGGGAATCATTTGACCCTTCTGCACCCAATATATGATGTACATAAAGTGTTTAAATAGTTCCTGGGACATAGTAAGTGCTCAGTAAATGTCATCAGCATCAGCATCATCACCAACTCAAAGCTGATCCTAGTTTCCATAACACTAGTGAAAACAAGTAATTACAATTACACTTTATACAAGAGACGTGAGGCTGAGTACTAAACTCAATTTTACTATGTTTAAATGTTAAAATGTAAAGGAATACTATAATAATTCCTGTGAAAGGAAGACTCTTTCAGCTAAACAGAATACCTGCCCTCCTCTACATAGTTTTTTGGTAAGCTCACAATTGTATATACTAGCTCTGCTTAAAGCAAGGTATAATTTTAATCTCCATTTCAAGATAAATGAAACACAGATTCAATTAATAATGAATCACACTTGTTTTAAGCTCAGCAAATGGAACCCGATTACCAATAAAAATTCTGAAAAAAAAGTCCGTTGATTTGTCACAGTGCAGAGCACACCACAGCGGCACAGGGTGAAGTGACTGAAGCCCCTGTGCACATGTCAGCGGCTCGGTGACACATGCACAGTGATGTCATTATTACTCATGGATTAGAAGGGATATACTATATACAGCATTCTCTGAAGAAAACGAGAGCGTCCATGACAGACTGTTCTCTGGCCTTAACGTTCAGCATAAACAGAGGACAGACGGATAAGTCAGACTCAAGAGGGATCTGGAGAAAAACCGAAAGTGAGAGGGTTCAGTGGTCCGGCTAGATGATGGCAGGGAGAGAACTCTCACGATGGCTCCCGAGAGGCACCTGGGGGGAAGTGCCTCCTGTATTTACTGAAGTTGCCTTTCGTGAGCCTTACAATAATCGTTCCATTCCTTCTGATGGGCACCCATCAGGCACCTGGAAGTGCGTGAAGGTAAACACCCTGCCCAGTGTTCACCTCTCCACCATGCCCAGCACTGCCTGGTGACTGCTTCTCTGAACCAAAGAAGCCACACAGGGAAGTCCACATACACCGTCATCCACTGCTTTCTAAACCTGAATGATAATCTCAACAAAACCATCCAAGATCCACTTCTTTGTAGGAAATTCAACATTAATCCTACATCTTCTCCATTGAGAGAGAACTTTTAACTTAAAAGAGAGTTATCTAGTGCTCATGTATCCCTTGTCCAAAGGGATACATCCTGTGTATCCCACAGACCAAAGTGCACACAGCTCCTGTAACAGCTCCTGCCGGGCACACAGTTCAGTTGGGTTCTAACTACTAATTATTCTACTGTTTTAAGATATGTTGAATATGATAATATTACTCTCCTTAGAACAAGTGTCTAAGGTAACAGGGAAATAATATACAAGACTGTTGCCTAAACAAATGGAATATAGACACACACTTAAAAAGCAAAAAGAAATTAAATGGTTTGCCATAATATGACTAATTCACTGCCATTTTATGTTTTGCTTTGCTATAATATCATTCCAGGGCAAAATTAGTGCTCTGTTTTTTGTTAATTTTTAAAAAATATGTTTTTATTGATTTTTAGAGAGATAGGAAGGGAGAGGGAGAGAAACATTGATGACGGAGAAACATCAACATTGATTGGCTGCCTCCTGCACGCCCCCCCACCAGAGATCGAGCCCACAACCCAGGCACGTGTCCTGACCTGGAACCGAACCAGTGACCTCTTGTTGCATGGGTTGACAATCACTGAGCCACACCATTAGGGCCAAAATTTGTGCTTTTAATTCACACACCACCAACAGCTCAATTAAAATTAGCGTAAAAGAATAATTATTCACACAAAACCACTGTAAGTCAGATAAAATTAGAAGGTATTTAAAAAAAAATCATAAGCATTATTATAACTATCTTCAATATATCTGCCAATTTTGGTCTATAAAATATTCATGTTCACTTTACCCTATTCACACATTTCGTCGCTGTTTCTTACCCGAGATGCGTCTCCCTCCTGCTTAATCATATCCATTCCAGGCAGCTGGTTTGGGAAAAGGCCACCTCCCCTCAGAGCAGGATCATTAACCTGAGGGCAACAAGACAGGACAGTAGCTATTTTTAGCAGGATGTCCAAAAGTGTAACGGGGGACCAACCAACCACAAACCTTCCTTTTGTTGGGTTATAGTAAAATGACAGGGAAAGATGACTATGTGGCTACAGCCCTCTCTTTCCATGTATATATTTTGGGGGGAGTATGGAGAAACATGAAAATAAATACTTATACTAGCTGCCTTCAAATTAAATTTTATTTGCATTCTGTATAGAAGTTCAATAGAGATGATCACACTAGAAACATTTTCATGTCATATCATGTTCACTTTTTTGGGTTGAATTAGACCAATGATTCATAGTTGGGACTTTGAAGTTGTCTGAGAGGTCCCTCATATCCTCGTTACTCAGGCAAATTATTGATTAGCAGGAGCCAATGTGAATACCCAAAACTCAGCTGAATTTGGGGAACCTTCCACGACTAAGTGAACTATTCATTAGCATTGGTACATGTCTTTTGCAAATTACAAAGTGAATGTACAAATGCTGATAGAGGACTGATTTTGTCATAAGATACACTGCAGGTGTGTTTTGGGGGCTTCTAAAATAATTGTGATATTCGAAAGGCTGAAATTCATGCAAAAGTTTCAAAGCAATCTAGACTACTACAAATGCACCAATTTACACTTGGGTAGGTTAACTAGGACCCACACTAGACTAGGCCATCTCAGCTGCCCTTACTCTGTACACTTTTCCTAGAAAGCAAGTCAGGAACCACTAGTGGCCCATTTTTGTAGAAAATTTAACATTAACACTATTCTCCACTGAAAAGATAAAAGTCTTTTTTATTATTACACACATGCACAGAACTTTCTTAAATTGCCAAGGGTTTTAAATTCTCTCATGCACTACTATGCCTTTTTATTAACATCTTTTTTTTTTTTAAATTTTATTTTTGTTTAAAATATTACAGATGTCCCTTTTTCTTAATATCTTGATATAGAATAAAACACTGAGGCACTGCAAAATTCAGTAAATTTTCAGTAAACTGTGGTTTACCAACCTCAGAATTAAATAGACCTAATCCAACTTCTAATCTTCTTCCCCATTCTCACAATTGTGATCTAACTGAAATGTACAGTGCTGCCAATAGCTTATTGGTAAGTCATTTAAACTTTCCTTGCCTCAATTTCTCCGTATATGAAATACAATTCAGGGTCCTTGCCACATCTATATTTTGAATGAATGAATGAGGTAGTAGAATGCCAAGCATTTTGTGCCCTTTAAAAATAAGATTTTTCTATAAACACAATTTAAAAATTATTAACCAGTATCTTTGTCTCTGGATCAGCCCAGCACAGGTTTTTGAGCCCTAGGCTGGATATCTGAGGTATCAGATGCTTTGAGTCTCTTTCTCACTATTGAGGCTGGTGTATAATTAGGGGTGGTATAACTGTTTCAGTGTTATTTAACACAAAACAGCATCATTAAAAAACATATTGACAAGAAAATCATGGCATCCACATCCAAAGTTGACAGAACTAGTGTTGGGTCACCTGTGTTAGTCTCCCTGCATGAGTGAAATATCATTTAAAGCTAATTGGATGGCAGGTAGTTTGGCCTAAGATTCAACTGGTTTTATATTTAGGAAGAAAAAAAAATCAGTTCTTAATCTAGAAATCTAAATAAAGCTATTTAAAAAGCACATTCACCATTCCATGTTTAGAAATTTGTTTTAGCTATTGCTAAATTCCTCAAATAAGAGAAAAATTTAAATGACAAGAAAGAGAAGAAATGTTTTAAAAGATGCATGAGCAGTCAGGAATTCTTTCATGTGTGTTTCATCATTAACAAGTATTCCTGCTAATAGCACTACCACAGGTGAGGAAACACTTCAAAATAAATGTGGGAGTTGACAGCTGATGCTGAGTACATGGAAAGGTACATTTAATGCAGAAATAGCCAAAGGTTATGATCTGAGGACACTGCTCCTTGGTGTGCTCACCTGCTCGGGACCCATGGAGGACAGCCCCGACGTAGGCACGGAGGTCACTGAGGTCATGCTGATCTGTCCTGTCATCTGGTTCATGTTGCTCATCCCGCCTGTGTTGGTCGCCATGGATACATTGATGTTCATATTGTTATTGTACATGCTGGTGTTTGCTTGCTGCCCAAAGTGTGGTGGGGACTGTTGTGAAAACATGCTAGAGTACAATGGAAAGATGACAATGTTAGCACCCTGGCGCAAACAGGCAGGCAGCTCTGAGCACTTATTCCTGAGGCATTTACTTCAAAATGAACAAATCTACATGGAGAGAACCCAGGATGGGGCAGTGAGCGAGTGCTGAGGGCAGAAAGAGCAGGGCCTGAAGTGGTCAATGAGGCTGCAGGGATGACTACAGCACTGTGAAGGCCTGGAAGTCTGTTTCCCACTTTTGTGTCTGCCCCGGACAAGCTTTGTTTGTTTGCTTTTAATACACGTACAGATAAGGATGGCTTCTGGGGTACTGCCTTCCTCAGCAGTGTCTCTCACAAATTGGAAGGCTGCTACCTTCTTAGGGGAGTTCCTTTTACTTCCCAGGAAAAGATTTCATACTAAGCTTTTTCAAATTCTGGTGACTTCTGTTCTAGAAAAATTAAGCTGGCTTACTTAGCTGTTCACTTGATATAGCTTGTATGCACAAAGGGGTTAAGAAAACCACAGAAAAGAGCCTTGTGGTCTACAGAAAGATTCCCTGGTGATCATTTATATAAAAAAGACACAGAAACAGAATACCTGTTTCCACCCATAGTGCCCTGTGCCCATCCGTTCATGTCAGAGGCCTGATAGGCGGGATTGGCCTGGGTCTGCTGCAGCATGGGGCTCTGGGTGTGCGCCATTCTGGGCGACATTAGAGGGCTCTGAGGCGTGGTAGCCCCAGTAAAGCCGGGATCAGGTTGCTGACTCATTCCTTAAAAGACAAAACAGAAATCCAAAGGAGACTGTTAGTTTTATCGTAGTGACTCGGGGTAGAGAAAGAGAACATTCAAATCAAACACAAATAGAAAATTACTTTCAAATATCTGCTCATGTACTGGTTAACTACATATATTTTAAAAAGATTCTAAGCTGGGATAAAATGCATGAAGAAAAAAATCTCTGTCTTAATTCTCTGCATTACTTACAGTGGTGCCTAGGAACATATTAACCATCATGGCTAGAAGCAGAGAGAAAAAATACGATTTTCCCCCATAACCTTTCCAAATCAACACTGGTCAAATACACATATTTCTCTTTAACCTAAAATAGTCTTTAAAATTTTTATATATCACTATAAGGACAGTTTAGAGTTTAAACAGAATTAAAGTTCAACTATCTATAAAAAGTCAACACATTTGAGTAATTTTTAACTTAATGAACTTAAGTCATTCTCTATGAAACAAATGCATTTTTACAAATAAGCAACTGCATTCACAATGAGCTTATTTGTCTTCATAAAGGACTCTATGGTACTTCAGTGCTATCCAGGATTAGCAAGAAAAGGGAAAAAAATTCAATGCAAGCTTCTTGTTCAGTTTAGAAGCAAATGGCATTTAGACTAAATGGATAAAAAAAACTTTTAGAAGACTTTCTAAATCATCAAAAAGGAAATAGAGGAAAGGGGCTTAGAAACAAAGGAGGCCACACCTCAGAAAATTTCAGGAATGACGTTAAGGTAAGCAGATTTTTGTCTAGAAGACATGTAAAACATGCATATTTAATTAATACTTAAATTAGCTAAAAGGAAAAGTTGACTATCACACAGGAAAAAGCTGCATATTATCTTTCTGGGTTTTTTTTTTTTTTTTTTAAAGAAACAGGAGACATGATTTTAAGCACCACAAGGACTTGATAGTTATTTATAAAGCTGATAAAAAATAGGGAAAGTCATTTTGAATATTAATGTAAGCATTTACTTTTATCAATTCAACTGTTAACTGAACATGACATGCACACAAATATTAAAATTTATGACACTACACACTTGTCTCTTAAGGCTGACATTAAACAACAAATCAATATGAAGAAAACTAAGAGGCTTCCATTGTGGTTTCTATATAGCATTTCTCAAGGATTATCTATTCATTAAAGATTTGGTATAATCATTCAAGTCTTTATTTTTCAAAGTTGTAGAATGTCTCTAATATTTACATTTCTATACGTCTGTCAACCATTGTATCTATTGATTTGTTTGAGTCAGACTCAGAGGTTCAAATATAAATACATACATATTCACTTGCGTTCACAAACATGGACATAAACACAGATTCATACACGCACACACACACGATTGGTAGATGCACTATACACACGCACACTTACTTCGGTCATTCTTAAAGTAAGACCTGCACTCAGAGAAAAGGTGGTACCTGAGCTGAGAGACTGGAAGGTACTGTGCTGGACCTGGGGAGTCCTGACAGGCCCCAACTGTCCTCCCAGGTTTCCTATCATTCCCTGGTTAGCCAGAGTCATCTGGGAGCCATGCAAAGAGCTGTGAGAGAGGAGCTGTGACCCAGGACTGGGGGACACTGGGGAGAAAGGACTGGAGAAAGGTGGTGGGGATGTAAGTCCAGTACCGTAGTTCGGAGGAAATGGAAACTGCTGTGCAGTTGCCTGGGGGATCCGGGGGTTGCTCATATTTGTGGGCATCCCACTAGGAGCCACCATGCTTGATGCCATATTCAACCCTTGGCCTCTCATCATCAGAGTTCTTTGCTGAACTTGCTGCTGCTGATGCATCTGTCGCTGCCGCAGATGCTGGTTCAGGATTTCCCTCTGTCTCTGGGCCAGCATCTGTGCGTTAATAGGTGCCTGAAATGGGGGCAACACAGGACAGAAAACATTGGGGTAGACACAGGTTGAAAAACAAACTGTTTATTAGAAATAGGATAAAAAACGGTACAGTCTCATGCAAAATTATTGGGAAAATACATTTACATGGCAAGAACATTTTAGAGCTAACTATTGGTGGTTGAGAATGTGAGCTAAGTTCTACAGAGATGGTGACTATTCCGAAACTTGCAATGACATGCACGGGTAAATTCAGTGTTAATACCAATGAACTTGGGGCGTGTGGTGAGAGGACAGTTAACTGAAGGACCTCATGGTAACTCCAGTCCCATCTGTAAGAGGGGTCTGGTATCAACTCTGAGGATGGCAGTTTAGTCTCAGTCAAGGGCATTCAAGTCTGAAGGGAAATCATATCACAGTGCCAAAAGGTGCTTGAAGCCCTTCAGAGAAGGCTGAGCAGAGGCAGGGAGAGAAGGGGTGTGGGGGGGAGGTGAAGGGAAGAGACACTGGCGCTTGCTGTTAGCAAGAGGTATCAGGATGTTTATGGGCCCCAGCAATATATAGCTGATCCTCATTACTTGTGGATTCCTTATCTGTGCACTCACTCGCTCACTAAAATTTATTCATATTCTGAATCAATATTCACATCACCACCATCACTTATGGACATGTGCAGAGCCGTGGAAAATTTGAGACCCCCCGTGCCTATTTCCTCCTGACTGAATGACACTACAGATCCACTGTGCTCGTGGGATCCTATGGCATTCTAAGTTACTTTATGAGGGACATCAAGGGGTGAGAAATGGATACAGTGAAAGCAACGGCTGGGCTGCTCCTTACCTGGGTAGGAACTCCAGGCCTCAGAGTCAAGTTCACATTTGAAACATTGCTGATTTGATTCATAAGGGGCTGGCGATTCTAAATGGATACACATAGGAATAATTTAAAACACACAATATATTTTATCTCAAATCACCCTTCCAACCCAACATGTGCACGCTACTGGATACTAAAGCCCTGGGGTCTGCAGCTGGATTCCCATGAAAGCTAGTTCTGAATGAGGTATCACATTGCTTATAACTGGGAAATTATTTTGGACTATTTCAAAAACAAGCTGGCTGCAAGGGAGAAAGGGAGGAGCATGATCAGAAAAGGAGGCTAAGAGGAAGACTAGAAAAAGGCAGGTGCTTAGCACTTAGAGAAATGAAAGGAGATTTGAAAGCCTGTAACCCTGTGACTCGCTGTGTTATAGAAATCTGCCCGGGCTTGTTGCTAATAGTGGCTATTTTTGTCATGAGATAGGACTCATGACAGGAGCAGCTGGTGTCCCAAGTGCTCGCTTTGGGCTAGAAACTGTCCCTTAAACGTACACATACTGCCCTGTACTGTACAACAAGTCCATTTTACAGAATGAAAATTGAGGCTCAGAGAACTCAAGGTTAGACCATTAATAAATAACGGAGTTAAGGTATAAAAGGATAGCTACTCTGTACTGGAGTTAGTGGAGGAGAAAGAAAGGAAGTGGAAAGGAGTATGAAAATTGTAGGATCATCTTGGAGAAGTGTTAACCCTCTGAGAAAGTGTGGAATGAGATTTAAGCCATCCAAAGGCCGCAGGATTGCTGCGCCACCTGACACCAGTCTTCCTGTGCCCCACAGCCCTCGCCCCCCAGCTTCCAGGCACCACAGAGAACATACCTGCTGTGCTTGGAGGCGATGCTGCAGTTGAAGCCTCAGCTGGTTTGGCTGGTTCTGCACCAGGCCCGTGGGCCTGAGGCCGGGTCTGGGCTGCATGCGAAGTGTGGCATAACTAGGCCGCTGCCCCATGCTGTGGAAGTTGGGGTCTTGCATGGGAGAATAGCTCCCCTGGGCAATCTGGGCCTGAGACGCGTACTGCTGGGGGAAAACGGGCGCCTTCTGCTCCAGCATCATGTTGGAATCCTGACTCGAGAACTGGTCCGGATCTACTCCTTGGCTCTGAAGAGAAAGCCCCGAAGAAACAAAGAAATAAATAAATCCACTAAAAACAGCGGAGGAACTATAAGGTTGGTTTCTCTCACTGTCAAGAGGTTTGAAGCCTTTTATACTGTACTCACTACACAAAGGTACTTTTAGCATGACTTCGCTTTGTTTCTAGGAAAGGCTTTGTTCAATTGATCCAGTTATGTGAGGAAGGAAGCAGGGGTCGGGCCTGACTTCCAAGCCACTTCTTCCTAGGGAAGGGAAACATAGGCCACGACTAGGAATGCCGTCTACTCACTCCACCAATCACTGACTGACCTGGACTTTTTTTCTTTAAAAAAATTTATTTTTTTAGTATGATTTCAGAGAGGAATGGAGAGGGAGAAAGAGACAGAAACATCAATGATGAGAGAGAGTCATAGATCGGCTGCCTCCTGCATACCCTCTACTGGGGATCGAGCCTGCAACCCAGGCATGTGCCCTGACCAGGACTTGAACCATGATCTCCTGGATCATAGGTCAGTGCTCATCCACTGAGGCATGCTGACTGGGCTGACCTGAACTTTAAATGCACGTTTCATGTTTTTGACAGATTACTTATACCTGTATAATTCACTTTAATGAAACAACCACCTAGCTGGGATCAGCAGTGTTGGATTCCCCACCATTATTCCCATTTTGCAGATAACAAAACCGAGACTTGCAGACGTGAAGCAAATTGCAAGAAGCCTACCTGGCTAGTAAGTAGTGGGTTCCAGTCCAATTTGTGACTTAGGACCTGAGCTCCTCACCAGTATGATACACTATCTTTCTTTAACTGTTTTCTGTGCCTGTCAGAATTTCCTACATACCCCACATTTTGCCACCATCTGATTACCCACTAGACAGAGAGAGAGAGAGAGGAACATTGATTGGTTGCCTCTTGTATGCACAATGACCGGTGACCAAACCCACAACCTGGCTATGTGCCCTGACCGGGAATCAAACCTATGACCTTTCAGTGGACAGGACAATGCTCTAATCAACTGAACCACACCGGCTAGGGCCCCATGATAATTCTGAAAATGTGGATGGAGTCTACGTGGGGGAAGCCATTTATTGTTGAATTATTGCTCTAACTAAATCCACAAAACTATCTCAGAACTTTAAATATTTGCCCATCTTTAGCCCTGGCCAGTGTGACTCGGTTGGGCATCATCTGGTGCACTGAAAGGCTGGAGGTTCAATCCTGGTCAGGGCACATGCCCAGGTTGTGGGCTTGATCCCTGGTAGGCGGGATGCAAGAGGCAGCTGATGGATGTTTCATTCTCATGTGGATGTTTCTCTCTCTTTCTCCCTTTCCCCTCCTCTCTCTCTAAAAATCAATTAAAAAATTATATATTTGCCCATCTTTAACAGAAAGTTTAATTAACTTCCATTTTCAAAGAAAATGCAGTTCTGATGAATACAAATAAAGTCCACTAGTACTTCATCTTTTCCCTGACTCCACCTAATAACCACATTTCCATAATTCAGTTTAATATGATATAATGATAGATTTGATGAGACAAAATAGAAATAATATAACAAAATGGAAAAAAGGAGACTAAAATATTAAATGATAAAATGATGGCAGTTTTGATAAAAACAATGCTCTCAGCGACGCCAAGGATCCCATTTTTAAATGTCACTTAGACAAAACTCAAGGGCGACACTGAATGTTGAATTCTAACTACTACCCAAGGCAAAGCAAGCCAGCCACACAGGAAATATTTAAACTCCATTTTCCTTTCTTGATTTCTTTCAGGCTGTATCATGTAACCTCAAGTCATTTCTTTCCATTCTGCTGTTTTCAGTATGAATTGACAAGTCTGAACTCCCACTTATGTCTGTGACTGTGGGGATTATGACGAGACTATTTTTAATGTTCCAGAGAAGTCTCCAGTGACTGCATCACCTTCATCACAGACCCTCACGGCATGTCAGGCGCCCAAGAAGTTGACCGGACACTGGGAGGTACTTTTTAGTAATAACAAAAAAGGATGATTCACGCTGAGGGGAGAAGACAGCAGCGTGACTGTGATCGCCTTTTCTAGGTTCCTCCTTCCACAGTAAACCAGGAAGGCCACTTCACACAAATTTAGCTGCGTAGCCAGAGGCAGAAAGTCCTGTGTCCCTTCACGAGACTGTGTTAGGTTATTTATTATATTACTGCTATAAAGTACTCTTTATAAAGTAATACAGACACTTACTTTAAGTTACCAACTAATTACCAGGAGGAGGGAAGCTAACTGAGTACACTAAGATTGGTTAACTTCTTTATGTTCCCATTTATGCTTAAAGATCCCCAAAATTGTGTGGGCTAAACCCACACAGAGGTCAAAATGATTAGTGAACTATAGCGACCTCTAGAATGACTTCTGCTACTGTATGTGCAAAGTATTCTGTTGGAACAAATATCTTCCTATCACTGGCCCACATATATAAGATTCATATGGTGATCTTGGACACTGGTTTTCAGACGACAACATTCTGGGTCATCAGGGCAGTAATGTTCCATTCTGGGCCTCTCTGCTCCTGCGTGTCCCTCCCCGTCGTTAGGTGAGCTGGACCAGCGTTTCTGCCTTTCAGCTCAATAACCCAAATTCTACGTAAAGCTAATTTCCAGTCTTTTCCACTCTTGGGCAGGAGTTTATGTGGGAGTAACAGGAGAGGATGACAAAGAACAGAGCTAGCTGGCATGAGGTGAGAAGGTGTTGGAAAAAGCAGACGAGAGGAAATGACCCCTCATGCCCACGAGATGCTCGGCCCGCGGCTTCCTGCGCGTACCTGGCTGACCAGCTCAGGTATTCCCAGCGCTCTGTCAATCTCCTCCAGGCCGTCGAAGTTCCGCAAGGCCAGGTAGAGCTGGTCCAGCAGCGCCCCCTCATCACTCGGCGACTCCGCGGCGGGGTGCGGGCACAGCAGGTCATCTGGGGAGCTGCCGAACGGCTGCCTGCAAAGACAGAGACTTCACCTCAGGCCTGTGGGAGAGCTAGTCGGCTGAGGAACATTTTTCCCCCATAAGGACAAAAGTATCAGTTGATTTTCAGGATCTTTGGAATAAAATACTGCACTAGCTGGACACAGAACAAAATGACAACCCACAATCATAGATACACTGAAACACAGGCCTATGTGAGTCCAGAGCCCACATGACCATTACGTTTCCACAAATGGGCACTGACTCCTCAAGCTCATGTATATTTCCTTTGCACTAAGCAATCAAGGGACTTTCCTGAACTTTGTGAGGAAAGACTTATTGATTGAACAGTCTTATTTCACGGGAGGCTGTGCTGACTCACCTGTGATAGATGAGAGCACAGCAGGAATAAGAGTCACGTGAATTTTTGAACTCGGCTGTCACTAGACTAAACTTGGCTGGACTAATAGGAATCTTAGTTTATACATAAGCAGGACTTGGAAACATGAAAGCCCTCCTGATTAGTCAAGAGAAGCTGCCCATGAACATGCAAGTTACGTGTTATTCTGCAAGGTAATAGGTGATTAAACCATAACACTAAACTCCCAACTCTATAAAACTCCTATGATTTAAATTAACAGACAAATTGGGGGAATTTTTACAAAGAACTTCTGAGTTACTTTAATACTGAAGGGGAAATGATACTTACATTTTGCCAAAATAGTCTAAATTTGTGCCCTTAGAGTTACTATGTGATGTTTTGGAGGAAATAAGTTTACAGGTAACTTCATTCTTTAGTGAAAATAGATTCATCAAGGAATGAAGTTGCCTATTTAACCCGGTTGAATGCACCATGTTTTCTGAAGATAGCTTAATACGCCAAGTTGGCCTAGAATCCAGAAATCCTGAAATGCTGACGATGAAAGCCAACAATTTCAACCAGTTATAACAACACAGTACATTAAAAAATAATCTAATCTAGACTCTCCATTGATCCCTAGTTACTTGTAAAGAAAAATCATCCAATTAAAGTGTCCCTCAATGACACCCCTCACCGGCTGTCGCTGGCTCCAAGCCTGCAAGTTCCACTGCCTCCGAGGCATCGCCACCAGGCCATGTAGCTATCCAAGCACCAGCCACCTGGGCACCCTATGACACTCCCAGGGGCTCTGCTTTCACTCTGGGACTCTTTCTACACTGGTCTCTTCTACACCATTGCCTTGGCTCTCGGTGAACAGCAGGCACTGAAATAGTTCCTCCACAACCAAGAGTGGATGTTGTCTATATGCCAGGTTCTCTTAGACTGAGACCCAAAGATACTATTCAAGTATTTTCTTTGTCTAGCTTTATTTCAAAATTTTCAACTTCTATTTCTTCAGAAGCTTCATTCCTACACAACACTCCCCCACCCTGCCCATCTCTCCACTGGTGATAGGCTCGTGTGAAATCTCCTCTCTCATTTAACCCCAGCAAGGTGGCACAGTTCTGTAGGAACCCAGACTCCCCAGGCTTGCAACCCATTCGGTCAGAAGGAAGGGGAGGAGCTATCTCCTACCTTTGTAAGACAACTGCACCCTAGTAAAGACACATCCAAACGCTTAAAGAAAAAAAACGTTGCAAATATTAAACAATTTCCTACATAATAAAATAACCCATTTGTGTTACTTGCTTTTTGTTTCTTTTTTAAATTAAAGGAATCAAACTAATGCAGATTGGACAGGGCTCATATTGATCTTCTGCTATTTTTTAAAAAAAATGTCATTGAATCCTCTGAATCCTTTATTACTCCCTTAACATACAGAAAGGAAAACAGGCACCACACCACAACTCTGAGCTGTGCAACCCTGTGACAAAGCATTATATCCCAGGGTGGTGCTCACTCAGAAATTTGTATATTTAAGTAGCTCTGGAAATGCAGTCTACCTCTGTGAAGTTTCAGAAACCCTGCTGACGTTCATCATTTGTGATTTGATAAGAGTATTATGTAAATTTAGACTAGAATATTCCAAGAAGGACATAAATATTCAGTCTGCAGAAAGGTCTTCATGGAGCCTCCAACCCCAACTCCTTATAAGTGAGCTTCAAGGCCAAATTTCTCCAGTGTAAGTTTTCTAAGAAGTTTACTTCCTGGAAAGCAAAGCCTGCATCCTGTAAGTTCCCCCACTGCCTCTTGCTCAGGCTCAGAGCCGTCTCCCTGACTTGGGGCTCTTGCCCACTCAGCCGGCTGGGGAGTGCTACCACTTGGCCCTCCAGGTCCCCTGTGCAACATGGGCCTCCAGTGCTCTGCTAAAAGCAGAGAGATCATGCAGTAACACAACTGTGATGTTGTCTTGCTGGGCATAACACAAAACAAAAATGCATGTTTTTATCCACGAAGCATAGAGAAGTCAAGGAGCTACCCTGAGACTGCGAGACTGAACTGAGGGACTTTGGGATAGACCCAAGTAAGTAGGGAACCGACCCCTGGCAGAGACCCCTGGCAAATTCTTTCTTAAGAAAAGTGTCCTCAATTTCAACCCCAAATGTTTCATTGACAGAGGTCAGCTATGAACTCCCAATGAAAGATTACCAAAGTACCGAGGGAAACAGGTCAATCACTAGATTTAGAACTTCAAGTACAGATATTGAAATCACTGAATGAAAAAACTTAGAAAGTAAGGATTAATGTAATGTTTAAAGATATAAAGATAAAAAAATCACAAAAATAAGCAAATACCAACTAGTATAAATAAATAAATCCACACCTAGACACACTGTAGTAAAGCCACAACGCAGCAAATACAAAGGACAGTTCAAAAGCAATTAGAAATAAAAGATCACTTACAAGGAAATGAAAAATGATGAGACTGATAATCACAACCAAAAACACTCAATAAACCTGATCATACAACACACCCTTTTCCAAAAAAATTGTTTCAATGGCTTAATGTACAAAGTCTGAGTTCTTCAGTTTGGTATTTAAGACCCTCTAGAAATCTATTCTAGTACTGATCTACTCTTCCAGCCAAATCTGATGGTGCCTTTTATTTTTTTCCAATGTGGCAAAATATACAAAATAGAAAACTAGATGGTTTCTGTTACCTGAAACATGCTGTGTTGCTTTGTAACATCTAGTCCTCTGACTATGCTGCTTTTGCCAGGTGGACTGGCTTCCTGCCATCTCCGCCTCCTGACATTAGGCCTTTTCTTCATAGCCTCGAAGCCTTTCCTAGTCACCCCAGTTGATGATGTCTTGAAATATGGTTCATTTCTCTTGTGGCATTTTGAGTACACACGACCACATATTACAGTTATTAGTGCACATATTTTATTTTCCAACTACAGTATAACTTCTTTAAAGGCATGCTCTAGGTCTAACTGAGCTTTGAATTTCCCCCTCCCCTACATGCCAGTAGACGATACAGTTTGAATACATGAAAAGTGGTCAAGCACAAAAGGAAAAGATTGACTTCTAGCATAGGCACGTATAAAATAACGCACAGAACTCAGGAAGCAGCTCTCTTGGATCTCCTGGGGGCTCAGGACTCACCTGCTTTGGCTGGCAAAGGAGGCCTGGTCTATAGGCAGGATGCTCTCAGGCCACGGGGCGGTCTGGTTTGGAGGAGCTTGTTGTTGGCTATACTGGGGGCCCCCTATGTTCATCTCTAATTCAGATGGCCCTAAAAAAGGAGAAGACAAAAGTCCAAAAATCTTACAACTTGTAAACAGGGAAGTATCTGCTTCTGTTACGTAATACAAAGTGAAATATCTGGTTCTTAGGAAATAAGAGACAGAAGGAACAATAATCAGGTGAAAATAAGAAGATATCTTTTGTCCTGATACAGAAATAAAGGCAGTAAATATCAAGGCTAATACCCGCTTCAGGGATGGTCTAGAGCAGCAGCTGTACACCTCTCCTTGCCCTGACGACTCTTTATAGTCTGTCAAAAAGATTTTGCTTATGTGGGATGTATCTTGTTGATATTTATTGTATTGGAAATGAAAACTGGCAAATAGAAAAAAATAATTATTACTTCACTTAAAAATCATCCCAATAAACCCACTATATGTTAACACAATTCTTTTTGAATGAAAATAAAAACAACACCTTTTACTGGCATTGTTTTACATTTTTGCACATCACTTTAATGTCTGGATTGACAGAAGAGAGCCAGAATCTCCTATCTGCTTCCACCTTCTATGTACCCATGACACAGTAAGAGTGAGGAAGGAAAACTGTGTCTTAGTACGATCATGAAAAAGTTTTGGCCCGGCAGACTCCCTTTTGAAAGGGCACGGGGGCTGTGCATGCTCCTGAACTTACTGTAATTCAGCGAGTCCACCAGCCAGTAAGGGTGGAGGAGAAAGGAGGCCAGAGAGCTCAGACATGCGGTTCTTAAGAGTTCTTTTGACATTTAAGGTTAATTGATGCTATGAGCTTTTTAACAATTTTATTGTTATCATTATCTACAGACCTGTCTTCCATTATAATAGATTTCCTGTTGAGTTCCTGGCTTTTTTTGAGTTTATTAAAAACTAAAAATTCAGCTACACAACAAAGCTCACCGAGAGAATTTTAAGCTCAAAAGCCAGGTGAGGTGTCCTTCAGTGAAGCAAGACAATAAATTAAATTTCTGGATATAAGGTATTTATTGTAATGATTTTTTAAATGAAGGAATATTTAAAAAATTTCCCGGTTTTTGGTCTGCACACCAAAAGGTCGCAGGTTCAATTTCCAGTTAAGGGTACATACCAGGGTTGCAGGTCCCATCCCTGGTCTGTCCAGGTCAGGCATATACGGGAGGTAACCAATCAACGTGTCTCTCACATTGACCT